CTCACCAGTGAATGCGATCAGCCAGTTCTTATTCTGCATGTGATGAACAGTATTTTTGTAGCGTTGTTTAGGCTAGCAGTGTATCGTTCTCTACTCATTTTTCATTGGATTTCTAGCTTCTGAGCGTACAGTAAATTTAAAGCATTTTTTTTCGTATGACTGGTAGAAAAAATCGTAGGTTAAAGCTTAAGTTTGAGAACCGTTTGATGTCAGCTTGTAATGAGGCCTTGCATACTTCCTTCTTATCATCTACGACTTTGTAGAGGTAAAGCTAGCGGCGATTACTTTTTTACCACATGCCATTTATTGTTTTCTTGATGAAGTACATTGTAAGAAACAGACACTAATTGTAATCGCGCGAAGGTTAGAGTTCTATCTTCAAAGAAAGTTTCACCGTTCATGTCACACATGACCAGTTCCTTTCGGATAACTCGATTTGTTTCGAACAAAGCTATATACAAGAAAGACGTTAATTATAAGTATATATAGTCATCCATGGCGTTGTCACTCCATGTTCTCGCTATATAATCGCACTTCCTGCAATTTCAAAAGGGTTAGGATTTTTTAAACAGTCCATTCATTTGTTTTCCATGACCCCTTCACCGTTCGGGAAGCAGAATCATACGCATCACAGTGTTTCGAACGTTTGCGATCCTTTACCAGCATCTTAGCTTAGGCACGATACAACCGGAGTCTAGAGCAGACTCCTTCGATACACTTACACCAGGTTAATCTTGGCCGGCCCCTGCGTCTTCTGTCAGTCGACTGTACTACCAGTTGTTGCTCTGCCTTCCTTTCTGGAGGTATTCACAATAATTGTCAAAACCATCGCATCTGTGACTTCTCAGGTTGAAGAAGCTCGGCTGTACACCAAGGCTTTCGCGGATGTCAGTATTGCAGACCATGTCGAGATGCGTAAGGCCTACTATTCCTCAGAGAAAGCCCATTTCAGCTGCTTTTACCCCGAATGGATGTTTTTCGGTCATGGCCACGATTCATGACCGTATATAAACATGCGGATTAAGATCTACTTGAGCAAGGAGAAATTGGTCTTCAGACTGAGCTCTGCTTTAGTCACAACGGTTCGGGATAGTCCAGTTCGGTAGAACGATACTGGCTGCTTCAGTTTATCGGTCGATCTCTTCCTCAAATTTTTCATCACTAGCAAATACAACACCGAAATACTTGAACTTCTCCACCTATTCCAATGTCTTTCCATTAATCTGAAGAGAGCAACGGGCAGGAGAATGAGAAAGCACTAGGCTTTTCATTTTGGATGCGTTCACGTGCATGCCCGCCACGTCGCTCTCGGCAGCAAACATTTCTAGGGAGCATTGTAGATCAGTTTCAGAAGATGCTAATAAAACAAGATCGTCTGCAAATATCAACCTTCTCTTTTTCCCATCTCCTACACCGACACGCTTATTTCCTTGGCTGCTCTTGACTATTTTATTCAATAACAACACAAACATGATAGGGGACAGAACGCAGCTTTGACAGATACTAGTGCCAGCGCAGAAAGTTCTCGACTTAAAGCCATTCACTGTGACGGGGCACCTGCTATCAGCATACAGTGATTAGATGGCCCTTAGCAACTTACCATCGATTTCATGTTAGCAAACATGGCCACAGATTGTTGCGCGGAATCCGGCCATACTGTTTCTGTAGGTTCACACAGCACGTGTTCACTGGATGAGCGAACTTCTACGATTTTTCAACAATCTGTTGTGGGCCGAATATCTTGCCAGTGTTCACCAGCCGGACCGGTAGCTACGCTGCTCTTGTATTTTGTTCCGCGGCGAATC